CCAGGGTAGTGCTGGATTCGACCGAGACTTGCATCTGGGTATATTTCTCATCACGACCAATAAGGATTCCCACTCCTCTGCCTAACCCCCCATCCAACTTCCATTAGAAGTATGGAATGTTCGATGTACGGGAAAACAACAGGACAGGACGACGAATCCATCAATCATGATAAGACCCGTCCGCGCATCTCGACCGCCTACCAGCTAAAAACTCACCTCATGCCAAAACAGGCCCTAACATGAGAGAGAGGCAGGCTTACTAACTAGAGCATATCTCTACCTCTCTCTCAGGAATGCCTTACGAAGGCTCTACAAATATCGGGAATTGACAAAAATAGTAACTATAAGTCTAATCGGATTAACAGTAAAACATCATAAAATAAACATTCTAAAATACGCGACACCAATAATTTTAATGAAATGTATTCGCAAAATTATCCGAGTCGCCCGTATCGAAAATAATTATATTATATAATTCATAACAAATAATATCCTCATATGTATATATATTACTATATACCTAATCGGACATTTCGGAATCAAAATGACCAGTTGTATCTATTCTATGCGAGGCCTGCCTTGCTCTCTCCGCCGCTTCCTTAGAGGTCAAAACCTTGGTACAAAAGAGAGAGAAGGCCTTCCACTTGTCATTACTATCCAATATAGCATCGATAACAGATGGGAGATCCAAACGGTCCCCAATGATCCTTGTCATTTCGGTTCTCTCAAAGCTCCAAGCACTGCAGAACTGGAGGGTGTGTTGAGCCGTATCAACAGCATCAAAACAATGCCAACATATCGCAGAATCTGCTTTCCGTATCCTGTATATAAAAATTCGCCAAAGCAACCATGACCTGTCAGGAATTGAGTTATATGGTAAGTGACCCATCCATGTTTTCTGTTTACCCATTCTTTAAGTTTGTCAACTAATGCATCACGGAGCCGAAAACTAGGGTAAGTATGATCCAGAGTCAACAAACTCTCCCTCCAGTCCGACAGTGCCTGATCCTTTGCCTCCAAATACAATTTAGCTCTAACATCGGGAGAGATCGCCTCTTCCTCATCGATCGCAAATCTGGTTCTAAAATATACCGCAGCCAGTCGATGTGCCTGAATCTCCACGGGTGGAGTACCGGATATTAATGACGCCGCTACCGAGGAAACAGTGCGGTACGCGCAACAGACTCTTTGTGTAATTCTGCGCAGCAATCTAGTCATTAGAGTCTTCGCCCTACGATTACCTCCCAGTGATACCGACCACACCGGGGCACCGTAAAGTATCATTGAAAGAACAACATTCAAATACAGTCTTCTCACCCTCTCGTTAGGTCCCCTGCAGTTGGGCATGATCCCCCTGAGGTAACCTATCGTTTTACTCACCTTGGTGTATACTCTTTCAAAGTGTTGTGTAAACAACCAATCACCATCTATCAAGACACCCAAGTATTTTATGGTAGGAGTAACAAGTACCTCTCTATTCTTAATAATTAATTTATAAGGATCACTCCCAACTGCAGAGGCCGGAAAAGCCATAACCTCTGTCTTGTGTGGGGAAATTTCAAGACCAAGTCTTTCTATTTCCCGCACAACTATTCCAGACGCAACCATCGCGAGATGAGCCGCCTCATCAAGGTCATCCCCGGAGACTACAAGAATTGTGTCATCCGCGTACCCCAGTATATGACAACCGAGCGGGAGAGTCAAATTCAAGACGCTATTATACCCAATGTTCCACAGGGCTGGTCCAAGGACCGAACCCTGCGGAACACCGCGGTATACCCCCCGTCTCCGCGTGACACCATCAGAGTCAGTATAGACCAGCCATCTGTCCGACAGATAATCAGAAACGACCCCACGGAGGTAGGCAGGGAACTCCATGGAGGCCATGGCCGAGCGAATAATACCCCACGGCAACGAATTAAACGCGTTCCTAATATCAAAAGATATCGCGATAACCAATCTGCCTGCTTCCGTCTCTTCAAGAACAATACGTCTTAATTTTAAAATAGCGTCCATGGTCGACCGCCCCTCCCTAAAACCAAATTGGTTATCGGAGAGAAAACCGGTAGACCCTAGGTGATCCGCCAATCTGGAGGCGATAACTCTTTCGTACAGCTTGGAAGACTCATCTATGAGACATATAGGTCTGTATATACCAGGATCTGTTGGATTTCCATCCTTTTTCCGAAGAAGTACTAATTTAGCAGTCTTCCAAGCTGTAGGAAAGACACCCTCCCTGAGACACGCGTTAAAACATGCCCGCCATACCTCCATGAAGCACCCCGCGCCACCCGCGATAATGCCCCCGAGCACTCCATCCGGACCAGGAGCCTTACGATTGCCGTGCAACCTTTTAAAGGCCCGCAATAATTCCGCCGAGCTAACGTTGTAATCTTCCAGCCAAACATTACGCAGAGGAGAATGAGAAGCCATATGCTCTACAGGGTCATCCGGGAAGAGAACATTGACGATATCCTCCACCGCGGAATAAGAGAGCGTCTCGCATATCGGATGAGCTATAGGTCTTAATTTTTTTAAAACAATCTTGTAGGGGAGACTCCACGGATTATTATTTATATCGTTGATGAGTTCGCCCCACGCTCTATTTTTAGCTCTAATGATACTTAACCTATATTCTCGCAAACTTAATCTATAATTTCTATATGCCTTATTTGTTAAAGCAGGGTTATCTCTCTTTTTGGTTCGAGAGAGAGCTCTTCGCGCTCTCACAACGGTACGCCGAGAGGTCGCTACCTCCTCGTTCCACCAATAGGCGGACTCTCTATGTGATCCTTTGCTACGCGGCATAGAAAGATCGGAAATAATCTTAAGTGAGTCACCCAGCCATTGGACCCATGAATTTGCGGAAACCATTTTTGCAGTATCTAGTGACCATGTCATACCGAGATATCCAGCCATCAATAGGTCTTCATCTAATTTGCGATAATTCCACTTAACAAACTTTTTATTTATAGATTTGAATGCCGTTCTGGCAGTTCGAGTTCCAATCTCTAAACGAATAAGTCTATGGTCAGACAAGGTGACCAACTTAGATTCTGTAGTACAATTTAAAATCAGCTGTTTAGCCCACTGGTTGGCAAAGACTAAATCAACAACAGATTTGCCTTGCCATCTGTCACAAGTGTAAGTATAATTTTTATTGATTAAAAATAAGTTTACCTCCTCCATCCAACTCCTCAGGCAAGCACCCCGCGTATCCGATCGTCCCGGGTCCCAATCAGAATGCCGAGCATTAAAATCTCCGACAATTAGTATCGGAGAAGTTTTATATTTGTTAATTATGAACGATAAATTATCCAAATAACCGTTAAAAGCGTAAATAGATATATTTCGAGAGGAGTAACAACTAAAAATTGTTAATTTATTCCATCTCGCCACGCAGAAACCGAAACCACTCTCCAGCGGTCTAATTGGGAGGAACAAACCGGGGACACTACGCCACAGGATAGCAGACAGAGGAGTATCTTCGCGAGACTGCACCCACCTGCCATCATCCTCAGGAATCGAATGTGGTTCCGATATGATGGCCACACCAGCATTGAGTTCATGCATTAGGTGGCACAGATTATCTTGCGCCGGCTTTGAATGGTTCACATTGAGGATAAGTACATTAACCATTGTTAAATTTCAGTGTCCATTTCAGAGGCGGGGGGCTCCGCCGTATCCAGAGGCCTCCGTTCCTCAATAGGCATTACAGGTAAGGAATTATTATATAAATCAACATTAACATTGTCTTTATTTACATAAGTTTTATGAATCAATGTCTTTCCAGGGGGTACGGGCTTACACGCCGAGGTACCAGCCATATGATCGGCTCTGAGACCCCTGTCGAGGCAGACTGGGCAGCTAACCGCATTTCTGCACTCAGATGATCTATGACCTATTTCCCCGCAGCGATAACAACACGCTCTCCTGTCCTTGGATTCCGGACATCTATGCAGCGTGTGACCGATCGCAAGACATTTGTAACACTGAAGAGGTCTCGAATCAACCGGCTCCACCCTTACAGTCGTCCAACCGATATTAATTTTACCAGCTTCCAGAATGTTCACCGCCGCCGCAATCGGACATCTCGCCATTGCCACACCCAGGCCACCGCGAACAAATCTTATCGGACTACAATATATGCTTTCGGACGAGCATTTACCTATTTCTGCGAGAATGTTATTTATCTCCGTTTTTGTTATCGAATCGTCTAATCCTACTAACTTTATTTGCGAATTCCTCGTAGGTTTTCTAATTCTAACACCGGTCATATCTTTAAAAACGTGATGTAGACTAGTTAAGAGGAGATCTGCTTTTATGTCAGAATCTTCCCCGGGGATTTCAATGAGAATACCTCCAGCAATCGATCTTTTAATTTTTGGATCAAAGATATTTAAATCCGATAGAGAAATTTTGTCCCGTGCCAAGCGAATAATTTCCGCGTATGTAAGGTCAGCATCTTCAATTAATATTGAAATCGCGGAAGTACGCGGCACTTTCTTTTTTAAATTCATAACCTTATCTTTAAGACTGTTATTTATAGATTTCTTCCTATTGATATTGGGTACTAAATTATTATGTCTATCATTATTATTAACATTTCGTTGTAAATTTCCAGCAGTGTGTTTAACATTATGATCGTATTCCGGATTCGTGTCAGATTGTGTACTGTCCTTGACCGGTGTAGATTTCATACTTGTTTTTCTCCTTTTACGATTACTTTTCCTATTTCGCGGGATAGACCATTCAATTTCCTTGTTATTCATTTCCACAAAGTTCTCGAGGATATCCTCGTCGCTCATACTGGTAATATCCGTTCTATTAATTATATTGTCACTAATCAAAGGTTTCTTATGTTTACTTACAGATTTATTTCCAGCAGCAGCCGGAATCACTTCACTTTGCCTAATAAATTTATCGGTATGAGCGTTTTTGACTGTAAGAGGAGCCTCAGTATTTAGAGCTCCAGTTGGCATTTTTAAGCCCAGAGATTGCGCGTAAGTTTTTTCTCCACTAAAATACTGAGCTATTTTATTTAACTTACTCTTACCTTTCTTTTTCTTTCCAGTGGCATCCATGGAGGGTCCAGGGTAGCGGGACTCATCCATCCTGACACCACCCGGATTTAAGTCCTCGCGAAGAAGCCTAGTCTCCCGGATCATCTGTGACATACCGTCCCCCAATCTATCCAGGGAGCGGATCATTGCCAGGTCTATCGCAATCCGTTCTTCCGAAACACCTCGTATTTCACTTTCACTAATTAATGATTTTCTTGCAGGTATAGCTACGTCTCTTTTTATGTCTTTATTCAAGGAACTTCGCAAATTATCGGAGACAGAAGGAACCGCGGCCAGGCCTCTGACGCAAGGATCTGTTTCACCAACCACATTGCCAGGTAAGTCACTAGCATTTAGGTCAAAGTCATATGCATCTTTTATTTGTTCTCTTCTCTTAAGTTCTTTAATTTCTATTTCCAAGAGGTCTAATTTACGTCTATTATCGTTAGAAGATTTTTCCATTTCGTAGAACTTAGCCCTCCAGTATTCCGGATCTTCCTTTGAGGTGGCCCTTCTGGATAAAAGGTCACCTGTTCTACGGATGGTTTCTAAAAATACTTTAATCTGACCACTGAAGCTGCCTTTGATACCCGGTGATTTTACTCTAATAGTATCTATTTTATCAGCCATTTCTTTAATTTTATTATATAACTGAGGTGCGTGCTCAAGAGCCAAGCCCGCCATCTCCTCGTCTATCCTCTTTTTATTATCGACAGAAAAATGGACCGCGTATCTGTCCTCATCCGTCTCATCCTCTTTTAAAGGGGAGCTTCTCTTTTTCCTTTTCCTGTTATTGACGGCAGAAGATATACTTTTAATGCTACCTCTTCTACTATTTTTTCTAGAAGATCCAGAGGAACCACCAGATACCGCCATCTCCTCTGTATCAGAGAAATTAACCGCACACATAGAGGCCGGATCAACTCCCTCTTCATCAGAGTCTATCAGGATGGATTCCAAGACCCCAGAGGGACCAGCCTCATCACCACCTCCAGGGTAAGTTCCAGGTTTACTCCTCATCGGCAAAATGGTAATAGCAGACCCAAGCCGCTCCACACTGGCGATAATAGGTCGGTTCTCTGCGCTCGCCACCGACGCAGAGACCAGCCCTTGGCATGATGACGACCCGTGGGGGACAGGGACGATATCCCCCACGTGCCGGTTCTCGGTATCCGACGCCGAGACGTTTTGATCCCTTTCCGTGTTCATTTCATGTAGAGAAGCGTGGTTTTATTTGCAAGAGTTTCCCTCTCTTGTTGGGACTCAATAGTTTATTTTACACCGCACTCGTTAATAGTCCCTCCCTATTTATGTTAATAGGAAAACGAGAACGATGGTTGATAACAGTTTCATACAAATTAGAGTAAATTATTATTTTCTATTAGTTGAAATATCCAAACAGAGTAATTAGAAACCGACAGGATCAGAACGTAAGTAGATCACTATATATATAAATATATATATGTATATTGCCGTCTATCAAACACTAAACTTCCAAACTTTAAATTATTTAGACTCTAACCGTCCTCATGATCAATTGTTCAATATAATTCCTTAATTAAAACTTACTTGTTTCAGGTACAGGCCCCTCGACAGTATATCAAACATAAGTATAAAATATAAGTCAATGTTCTTATTATAATTATATTTCCAATTATTTTCTTTTATTTAGATCCATCCACAACTACTTCAGAAGGAGGAGGAAAAACACAACTTCATTCACAACATTTCTGGTAGAAACTTCTGACATAATGTATTATATAATCACTTATCAAAATTGTTGATCACAATAAATAAACCCAATTATATTTATTTCCAATGATACTAGACCGACAAATCACTCATAGACATGTTCATTTATAATCCATTACATAAACATTAACAACACAATATAACAATCAGCAAACAGGAATATCTCTTATTACTATCCAGGCATGAATAATAATCTTAAGTTTAAATATCAATACCCTAAACTACTTATTATATATATATAAAGGATAGTTTGTATCCACTCAGCTAAGTGATCTATTGTATTAAAGATCCTGATACCATATACCATATAGATATATCACATCTTTTAATTTAATTCTTATTAATCTAAATTCTAACTTAATATAATTTAGTTCTTCCTTTAAATTGTCAATGGAGATACAAAATCGTTCTCATATAAACACTTCACGATCAGAGCTGTATAAATAATTATTATTAAATCTCCACCATAAAGTTTCACAATCAATCACATTATCATCTATTTCCATTTAAAAATTGAGAACTATTTCCTATATGTTCCCACAGAAATCTAAGTCTTTTTATAATTTTCCTTCGTTTAAATCAGCACGGAAATCTTAATAATCATGCCTTAACAGTATTTATAGTCTAAATAACTAATTATAAACCAATCATATGATTTAATAACTACTCTCAGTTCGTTAACTGTTACAATATAACAATAATATTTAAATCTAATCCTATTATAAGTTTCTTATGAGTATAATTACGAAAAGAATTCACACTAAATCGACTACGATTTGCACAAAATTAAACAAAGTTCCACACAATATTAATCAATCAAAATCCGAGACTTGAAGTATGTCTTCCCTGATTCAAGAAATTATACTATCATAAAGAATTTATATCAATCCAAATATGTACGAAAATTCTATTTCGATACAAATTCATTATCCGAGAATATTCCAATTTAGATCACCGACTCCACATTATATCAGAACCGATGCACACACATCTTTACAATTACTTATTTGTTTGTTTGTCCTCTCTATCTTGCACACTCAATACAATTTTAATTTCTACGCATTCCACACAAATATAATTATGACAAATCAGTCTTAATCTTTAACGAAAGTCAATTACATCACATTGAACATTATGATATAAACGGTTCAATTTAGCCCTAAATATTTAGCACACAAATACCACATAATTCGTGCCGATGTAACTCGATTAATGACAAATCCGTTGATAATAATCCAGGGTTCCTGTATTAAATTTCCAGATATCCATTTCCATTTCATTGAATCCATCAAATCAAATTCCACAACCATTACAGGGTGTTGATTAACATCAATCAGTCTGAAAGAATATACCAATCAGTATCTTAAATACAGAACATATGCAATATACATATATCAGAGCAACCATCATAAATATTAGTTTGCACAGTATATATCGATATCAAAGATAAAAATGCAGTCAACATATATATTCATTTAATTGTCTCACTGTATCTACTGCCAAATCAAGCAGCAAAATAAAATACTGATATTAGAACCAACGACAGAATTCACTGCAAATGTCAAAGCGATGCACTCATCTGAGCCATAAACAAAAAACTGCATAGTTAGGCATGTCCATTAGTGTAACACATATATCACTAGATTGTATATGGCAATGATAAAATAACAAAAATCTTATATTCATTAATATAAAACTGTGTCATATGCACAAGTGAGACATAACCTCCAAAAACAAAACATATAAACCATAACAGTTTTAAGATAGTAACAACTTAAATAATACTCCAAAGGACCATCAATAATAGCAATAGGCCGTATTTTCCCGTATAAACAATACAGCAATTGATAATATATAGTCTCAATTGCATTCAAGAAATGTAATATGAATGAGTATATAGCACAATAGACAGATGTCAAAACTAATTTATCACTCACTATAGAGCAGCTACTCAATGATAGTTAGATTCTTAACATTGTTTAATTAGTTTAATTCAAAAGTTAAGTAGTTTATAATATAACTGTCGTGAAAGGGTTAAAAGAACCCAAGCCTCACTCCTATTATACAAACATGGTTCATTCAATATTGTAGATGGGTCAGTATGGTGTCCCATAGGCCTCCACTCAGCACACATTATATAAAACACCAATTTAATATGTATAATAATAATTAAACCCAAAATTACATATCGCCTGCTCACTTTCACCACTTATGCGCATGCGCTGGGGCTACACATGCACAAAGTTTTATTGCATTATATCTTAATAAATAAGAATATATGCAAGTAGCAAGGCATGTAAACGGGTAGAATCATATCCACAAAATTAAATTATCAATAAATTTCAATGCAAAGTACATATATATCTTGTTATAGAAGGCATCAGGTAACTTAACCTTACTTCCTTCACAGTGTTACTTGGTAGTAAGATAACTAATTAAAATTTTGTAAAATACAAGAAAATTTCACCAAATTCAGTATAAGGCAACTCGCGGATCACAATAATGCCTTTTTCCATACACAGGAGCCACTCAGCAGTCCAGATAAGATGTATAAGACCAGAGCTGTATAGAGACACGTCTTACTTGCTCGATGGTCACGAGAGACTCCCAACCTAACCTAACCTAACCTAACCTAACCTAACCTTGCAACCGACTACGGGTCTCGTACTAACGGCGGGACCATCATCCGGTCGCGAGCCGGAAAGCTACAGCGGAACCAGGGACAACCGGAGCGGAACCCAGGAACACCGCTGAGACGAGGGAGACCCGGGAACCACCGGCTAAAACTTAAGTACCTCGTCTAATTAATTAATTAACTGGCGTGAGTAATAATACTCAAAATTCTTTTATTTCAACTATTTTCATGTATCCGTAAATTTGGAAAAGTCTATTTTTAGTTTAAAGTAAAAGCCAGTTGCGAAAAGTTATCGCTACGCCCGGGATTATTTTAAAGGCGTAGACGTAGATTTTAAGATTACATTTACATTTAGCTA